GTGACTAGCATAAATAAATAAAAAATTTAAAAAAAAAGTAAAGAATTAGAGGTCTTCTTCTGTATATTGAAGTGGGAAAACCTGTCGATGTCTCTTTAATAAAATATAAGGTTTAGTGTACTTTTGATTATAAGTAAAAATAGAAAATAACAGAAAAAAGCTCAGACTGGCTTTAACGAGAAAGATGATTTATTGGATGCTGTGACTTCAAAATCAAGAGAAGGGACGGCGTCCAGTGGTGAGGAGCCAGTGCTGGGGTGATGTGGTGGGAACAAGCCGGGAAGAGCATGTTCCCCATTGGGCTTCCTGCCTCCACTATATCCCTCTAGTGGCCCCTGTCAGCAGAGTCTACAAGGTCTGGTTGGCAGAGCATGTGCGGTTTGCTGAGTCCCAGCCAGCATCGCAGAACTAAGTACAGGAGACAGGGTTTGGAGTTGAGACACGATATAGCTTCATCACTATCACATCTCTATAGAAAATGATTTTTTCAAAATTGCTGTCCAGTGAAAAGATAATCAGACAGAGTGCAGCCAAGTAATCTAAGAAATGAGTATCACGGAGCTGGGTCAGGCAATTAATTAACAAAAGCACTGATGTTACTGTTCTGGATTATGTGATGTGTTTGTGATCTGTTGTTTTCCGTGTCGAAGTTGTAATTTCTTTTCCCGCTCTAAATAAATGTTACCTGCCTACTTAAAAATAAAATAAAATAGAAAGGGAGACAGAACATGAAGACTCCTAACTCTGGGAAACGAACTAGGGGTGGTGGAAGAGGAGGAGGGCGGGGGGTGGGGGTGAATGGGTGACGGGTACTGAGGGGGGCACTTGACGGGATGAGCACTGGGTGTTATTCTGTATGTTGGCAAATTGAACACCAATAAAAAATAAATTTATTATTAAAATAAATAAATAAATAAAATAAAACAAAGTTCAAAGTATTTCCAAGTTGTTTGAGCTGGATCTTATCTTAGAGGTCTAGCTCTCTGTTTTACAAATAAAATTGTAGAAAACCTCAAAAAAATAAAATAAAAAAGATTTACAACCTTCTCCAGTGGCACAATGATCACAAAATCCCAAGAATGAAGGGATTAAGGGACTGGCCCTTCCAAATCTCTGTTCACCCCCAAGGGGAACCCCAGCTTGGTGGGTATTTTGTGCTGGGTGCTTCGTTGCCCAGAGCTTAGCAGAAAGTGGAGCAGGGCAGGGGGCAAGATCCCCAGTCCCTCCACACTTCCTGCTTTCCCCTGCCCGCCCGCACCACCCTGGGGAGGACAGTCCCACCACCCCAGCCTATACTGCTCCTTGCACAGGGCAGGTACTAAGTCTACTATTTTAGCCAGATTATAGACTTTTCCTGTGTCTGAGCTCCTACCATCACCACGCTTCTCCCTTACAGGAAGTACATCCTATAGCCAGCAACAAACCTTGTTGTGTTTTTTGTAGATTGGGGGACCTACTCTCTGTCCTCTCTTAATCACAACAGCCTCAGTGTAATTCTCTGGGGTTCTGCTCCAAGTTACTCTATATAACCGCATATAGGCTAATAAAATAAATAAGTGTAAGCTCCTGGAAGGAAGGCCTGGCCATTTATTTATTTATTTTTATTTATTTATTTTTATTTTTATTTATTTTAAGTGGGCCCCATGGCTAGCCAGCGTGCAGCCCATCACAGGGCATGAACTCATGACCCTGAGATCAAGACCTGAGCTGAGATCGAGAGTTAGATGCTCTAGCCACCAGGCACCCCAAATTTCCTTATCTTCCCTTTGCACTTTGTATCAGAATTTCGTTCAGTCGCCATGTGTAACAAAGATCTGAAAAATAATGGCTTACACTTAGGAGGGTTTGTGCTGGCATGTGAAGTAGGTGGCTTTACAGTCTGTCCGTGTTGTGGTTCTGCAGCCCCACCAGCCATCGCCAGCCTGGGTTGCGTCCAGTGCTCTGCTCCAGCCTCACTAAGGAATGACCCTGTTTCCCATGGTGGCTGCTGGCACCTTGGGCCCCACTTCCATGTTCTAAGCAGTGGAACAGAGAAAGGAAAAGAGTAAACTCTTCCCTTTTGAAAAAGGAGGTTTTTCAAGCTCTTTTGCTTATATCTCATTGTCCAGAACCTAGTTATGTGGCTGTACCCGGCTGCAAGGAAAGCTGGAGAGTGCAGACTTGTAGCCAGCGGGTAATGTGCCTCCCTAAAAAAAATTAGATTCTATTACTAAGCAAGAAGTCGATGGATATTTGACAACAATGCTGGTAAGGTAGCAGACTATTGGCCAAAGGACTTCTCTTTGGGGAGCAGTTTAAAGGGATTAAAGTTTAAATTGAGGGTAAATGTCCAGAAAGGCTGAAATGACAGAGGGGCTCTCAAGATTGCTTACTCGGAGAAGATGATGTGCAAAAGTCAGAGGCCATTCCGCGACCTCGGTTTTCTTTAACGTCAAAAATATTTATTGGATTATTTTAGGATTCCAGAAGTAGTACACCTGTGAACTGTAGAAAATTTGGAAAAAGAAAAAAATAATGCCCCTGAGTCCCAGAACCTAGAGGTAGCCCTAATTAATGTTTTGCTGTGCTTTATTTTCAGTCTCATCCATGCGTAAAAAATTTAATTTTTAACAATTGTTTAAAAAAAAAAAAAAGATCATTCTTGCTGTTTGCAGTGGTGTTTTAACTGTTTTTGGCAAAGTGATATATTGAAGTCTTCCTCCCACTGTGGTCCCTTGTCCTGCCCTCCAGTCCACGATCACTGCTCATGGCCGTCTCTGTAAACACATCACAGTTTCTCTTTGGTACAGTCCAGCAGATACAGACCTCCAAATCCCCAGTGACACATGTTACACGAATGCCAGCCCAGCACACACACTGTTCCTCACCTTGCTTTTTCCACCCACACTTTATTCCGCACCCTGCTTTTTGCCAGTTCCTGTTGTGGGACCCCATTTATTAAACTGCTCCTACCGATGGGCCCTTGAGTTGTTTCCAGTCTTCTGCTATGACAAACACTAAAGGGCCTTTTATAGGTCTCCTCTGCATAGGTTAACATATTTACAGGACAGATTCCTAGAGGTGGAATTGCCAGGCCAAATGCACTTGTCATTGTGATAGGCCTGCCACATTGCTCGCCACGCTGATTGCAACAATTTGCACTCCCACCAGCAATATATGTGAGGGTCTGTTTCCCCCACGGCCTCGTCAAAAGTGCATGCTTTCAAACCTCTCCATTTTTGCCTATATGATAAATTTTAAAAATCTATGTTAGTATAGCTTTAGCATGGGGAAGGTTGAGTCATAGTATTTGCCTTTTTTTTTTTTTTTAATTTCTGTCTTTTGAAGATTTACCTGGGAAATCTCTGGGGATGCAGTCGTCGGTTGGTCTAATAAACAAGAAGGCTGCACCTCTCAGCTGAACAGTTGCTGTTTCTCCCTGCATCTTATCCCTCATAAAGGCACATTCTAGCTAAACAATTGGGGGGGAGGGTGTTGAGGGCTATTTTGTCTTGTTTTTTTTTTTAAGATTTTATTTGAGAGAAAGGTAGAGAGCACAAGCAGGGGGAGGGACAGAGGGAGAGGAAGAAGCAGACTCCCATCCCAAGCAGGGAGCCTGATGCAGGGCTGGATCCCAGGGCCCCGGGATCAGGACCTGAGCCGAAGGCAGATGCTTAACTGACTAAGCCACCCACTAAGCCACCCACGCACCCCTAATTGTGTTTTTCTATGGTTTTATTTTTAAGCAATCTCTAGGTGCCACATGGGGCCCGAACCTACAACGCCAAGATCAAGAGTCACCTATTCTTCCAACCAAGCCAGCCAGGCACCCTCTAAATAATTGTTTGTTATTTTGATGGTTTATATCCTGCTTTATTTCTAAAATATTTTAAATAAGCAAGTTGGAATAAAGGGGAAATAAGAGTAAAAAAAAAAAAATGACTGTAAGGAAAGCCAGATGAAGTCAGTTCACCCAATAGCCTCAACACTAGCTAGAGGCAGGTCACAAGTTCAGCCAGTGCAAAGAGGCAAAGATTGAAAACGTCTGGGCAGGACTCTGTTGGGACCTGGCTTTTGTGAGGCTGTGATAATCCTCAGAGGGTGTGGAGAGGAGACGTCCCTCCTTCTTTCAGCCTTCGGGTTCCAAACTTGGGTGCCCCATGGGACCAGAGAGCAGAGACAGCAATGGGACTGGGAGGAGGGGTGAGTCAGCTGATGGGGAGGGAGGAAGAGCTTGGTAGGAAGGAGAACAAGGCACGAGGAGTGGGGACCATGCGCAGGAAGTACACTGGTCAGGAACAGCTGCCTCCAAATATTATCTAAACATGCATAGATGTAGCACCATTTATCAAACCGTAGGAGCTGTACCGAATCCACGTCAGCTTAATTCTACTGAAATTCTTATGGTACCATGTGACCTGCTTTTTCTAAGCCCTGACCTTGGTCAGATTCCTGTTTGGCATCTTGGCTTTGTTTTCTGGCCAAGTCATACTTGGAGTTGAGCTCTATAGAGGAAGAAGGGATTGCTTTGGGCTTGGAACGTGACAATACATCCTACGAGAACATTCCAGTTCCTAGCAGAGGGAAGCATAATTCTAAGAATGTTGAGGAAAACTGGAGACCATCTTCATGTCTGTGTCAAATGACGATACTCTGCTTTCCAGTTTTCTTCATCTATAAAATCGTCACTTTAAACCCAGATTTTAAAAAGTGGTCCCACCAAAAAAAAAAAAAGTAGTCCCACTAGGATTATAGTCCCGGTAAGAGACATTTGCTTATAGAAGGGGGTAAAAGCAAAAAAAAAAAAAAAAATAGCATTAGGGCATTAGGGTGAGATTTACTCAAAAAAAAAAAAAAACCCCAATGTTGTTATAGTTGGCTTTTCATACACACAGAATCATAGCCACTTCTCAGTGTCAAAATAAACTTGTTTGGCTTCATTGGGTGCAGATAAAGCTATCGTCTCTCCAGACAAAGCAAACAAACCCTTTTACTCACAGCACAATATTTTGTCTTTCCAGGCATCCTATAAGCCATTGTTGAAGCAGGTTGTGGAAGAAATATTTAATCCTGAGAGGCCAGATCCAGTGGATATTGAACACATGTCTTCAGGCCTCACTGATCTCCTTAAAACTGGATTCAGCATGTTTATGAAGGTAAAGTAACCATGAAGAGGTAATCCTGATTGTAATGCTCTCTTTGCTGGGCATGAAAATGCTGGCACCGTGTTCACCTTGGTGAGGATCCTATAAGATAACATCGGTGTTTTGGGTCCTCTGAAATCAGGTGCAATCTTTATTTAACTTTGGTTCTAAGCAGCCTGACCTTCCAGCCTTATATGGCTTCCTTTGACCTAAACACCATGGTCTTTTTTTTTTTTTTCAATCAATATATGAGGACATAAGCAAGCCCCCTGGGATAGCACCACTGCAAACTCTTCTCCTCCAGACCCACATTCTGGCTTCATCCACATACTATTCACAGGTCTTAATGATGGTCTGTTGCTCTTCATTCTAGAACTTCTGTAGAATAAGGAATAACTCTGCTTAGTCATATGACTAACATCACCCCCAGATCTCTTTGGAAATGACTTTTGTTTTAGCCCAGCGGGCTCCCAGGTGACATGTGCTAGACTTTCCCCTGGCTGCTATCAAGGGTAGGTCAAAATGATGGAACAGCCTTTGCCTTGGGAATGAAAGGACGAAAAGTACACAAATGAGATCTATTTTTAACTCACTATAAAGTTTCTAAATTTAAAGGGATCTAAACAAGATTACGGACTGGCCTCCCAGTCTATGCCAGGATTTCAGTTGTAATAACTCTTGGAAATAACAGAATGTTTTGCCTACTTCAAAGCGTCTTTGAAATCATGAATTAATCTACATAGAAGATCTGGCCTTTCAGAGTTCGGTAAATGCACATGCCAGGAAAACTGGTCCCCTGGAAAAGCCAGAGGACAGAAGGCAGACGATCAAACTCGAGACAAAGCAGTAAACTGGCTGGGGTGGGGTGGGGGGTCTCCTTCCTGCTATCTCTGGTTAGCAAGTCAAGTGGCTGCTGGATGTTCCCCTTCCTTTTTTTTTTTTTTTTTTTTTTTTTTAGTAAATAATGTATTACAGATCGGCTTCTTAAAAGCGTGTGGGGGCTCCTGTGTTGCATGGAAGCCTGAGGTGTCTGGGAGCCCTTCATGGTGGCTATACTGTATAGAAACTTCCAGGCTAGACATGGTCTCCAAAGCCTTCTCCACTTGAACACCCTCTTCCTTCCTTCCCAGGCTTGGGCTTCGCCCTAGGGTGCAAATATAATAACAAGTGTGGACTTTCAGGCCCTGGCCAGCAAGGCCTGGGGCTAGCCCAACAGGCAGCACATGCTTCCCCGCTCAGGCTGTTGCCTTCACCATCAGCCAGGGGCCCGGTGAAGGCTCAGGCCTGCACTCCACTCACCGCACATGCTCCCAGGTGCAGAGAGGCACAGTCCAGGCAAGGTGAGGCCTCCGACCCGCTCCTGTCCAGCCATGTGCTACAGACACTGCTTTTTCCTAGCAAAAAAGGATCCAGTGACCAAATATGTCCAGGAAACGCTGGATGAAGCAACCTGTGAAATTGCTTCCTTCCGAGGGGACAGTCCCCTTAACAGGCCGATGGACTTTGCAGGTGTCCGGCCAATGTGGAGCCTCCCCTGTCGGAACCCACCAGCCTGCGTTTTCCAGTACTGTTTCGTGAATCGTGACACGTCACATTTTTAAATTAACCCTTTTACACTCTGCAGAGTGTTCTCTGCAGCTTTTTCCCTGATCAGAAGCTTCGCTGTCCTTAGGAGGGTTTTGCCCAGGATGGTGTTTGGAGCTATCCTGGGCTGCTGTGTGTCTCTGCCTTCATATCCCTGGAGTTAGAGCTTGTAAAGAAATGCCCTGGCCCCTTGAGGCAGATCTCCAAAGGAGATTTCCAAGTAATGCATTTCAGGAAAAGGGGGGAATTTGTGTCTTCCCGGCAGCTGTCAGAATCCATCCCTCAGCCCCCAGCTGCCAGGCATCTGATCTCAATTGCCAGAGGATGTCATCTGCCTGCAGGGGGTGGGAATTGTCTCGGTGGGCTGGCCACAGAGCCCTCCCCACCCCAGCACCCCAGCGGAGAGTCGTTTCGGTCTCTAGCTACCTGGGCTTCCATGACTGGCTCTTCCTACCACACCATAGAACTTGTAAAGGAGCATTACCTCTGGCTCATGTGTTCAGGGCTTGAACAAAATAAATGGATAAATGTAAAGAGGAACAGTCAGTAGGGCTTCGAGGGATAACTGCGAGTTCCCAAGGAGCGATGTCTTTGAGCTGGAGGGAAGCCACCAGGAGAGCGTGTCTTCTATTCTTCTTTAAGGCCCATGGAGAGAAGAGGATGCAAGACACGTATCTGAGATTCTCTGCACCAAACCAAAGCTCTGTGAGAGGGAAGTTGAGGCCACTGGATTTTGCCTTTAGTAAGTGGGAACGTCACTTGCATCCTACTACTGCTTGTTATCATCTCGTTCCCACATTGCGCTAATGGGCTTTCCTCTATAAAGACTGTCCAGAGAAGCCTTCCATCCCCACCTGTTCTGGTTATCTCTTGCTGCGTAACAAGCCATCCCAAAACGCTGACCTGACATACCGTCGATCACGGATTTTGTTTATGACTCTGCACTCTGGGCAGATCTCGACAGGAAAGGATTCGCTTTCAAGATAGGGCACTTACTGACCATCAGCCAGTGGCCCAGCCTGGCCTGTGAGCTAAGGGACACAGTTCCTCTCCACCGGCCTGAGCTTCCTCCCAGCACGGCGGCTGCATTCAGGGGCGAGCGTCCTAGGAGGAGCCAGATGGAAGCCTCAGAGGTCATGCAGCATGCCCTCCACGGTGCTCTGTTGAAGCAGTCACATACCCACTCGGGTTTGAAGAGAGACGACTTACTCTCTTCCTCTTGGAAAGGGAGCAAGTGCAGCAGGAGCAGAAATGTTTGTCGTGGCCACTCTTGGAAAACACAGTCTGCGCTCGCTCGGCCTGAACCACGTACCTGGCTGTGCAGCCTGACAGGGCGGTGTGTGGCTAATTCTAAGAGTTTTCCCCCCAGTCTAGGGGACAGAAAATTCACTCATGCTCCTGACCTGGTTCCAAAACAAATCCTCCCAGAAAGCCTTCAGTAATGAGAGACCTGCCTGTCTGCCTTTTTTTTTTTTTTAAGCAATATAATCTCAAAACCAACCAACCAAACAAAAACAAAACAAAACCTTCCTGCGTGATGAGACACTGCAGGACTTTGCTCTGGCAGGATCAGTGTGCCAGGCCCTGGAAGGTGGAGCAGACAGGCTGGGGAGAAGAGTGAGTGAGGCCACAAGACGGTTCCGGGACAGTGTTTCCATCAGCTACATGCACTCCTCACGTGGAGGATAAACTTGTGTTTAGCCCCAAGCAACTGTGGGCTTCAAAGGGCAGTGCCCTTCTCGGGGGTTGGGGGTGGCTCTTGAACTGGAGAGAAACAGCTTTGGAAGAACCTGACATTCTTCAAAGAACCAAGCATTTCTCCAAGAGGCTTCTTTCTGCACGGAGCACCTTGATCTCCTTACAGGAAAGCGTGATAGTGATCTCATAAATAAATCGAAACATACCTTACCCCTTCTCGCTTCAACGTTAATTTAATTTAGAACTAGCATGTCTAATGGGCAGCACTTTTAAAATGCATCTCTGGAATGTGTGGTTTGGGTTTCGGTCTCCTGAAAATAATATATTTTATATCTACTCCATGTGTTTGGCCCCCTGCTTGTTTTGACTAAAGGACATGATTTGTCAAGATGTTTTCTCTGCTGGAATTGGCATGAGGAGGGTGGGTTTTATCTAATGAAATTGCGTGAGGCCCTTTCACCTCCTTTTATACGTATTTTTTAAGAAGGTTTTGGTTTGTTCCTGTCCATTTCCTATGTGGCCACGCTTAATTGGGGAAAAATAAAAGACTTGTGCAAAACACTCAAAGAAGACCAGGCTCTTGCCTCTGGGCCCTTCTCTGAATTGATACGAGAGCTCCCTCACCTTGGGTGCATGAGGGGAGATGAAGCAGCTTCTCAGCAGGCGCTGAGAAGCTGGTAGTGAGAGGGGAGCAGAATCGAAACTCTTTCAGTTTGCAGTAAAGGTGCCAACCAAGTGCACGACGTTATGATTTATTGTGGACCATTCATGGTGAAGACCAAGGAGGGTCTCGGGGACCTCGGGACAGCAGTATGGCGGGCAGCAAGGATTGGGACTGAGAACTGGGAAGCCATCAGGAAACCCAGCGGTTCTTTGGGACTTGCTCTGGCCTGCACAAGATGCGCACAACAGCGGCCAGCGTAGAGCAGGTGCTCTGTAAGCGGCAGTTGAATGAGTGGCTGGGTAGCGATGCCACAGCCTTCGGTTCTTTGCCCGAACCTCATCTATCTTAGGTCAAGTCTTGACTCCCATGGAAGGGTCTCGAATTGGCCCAACCTAGGTCAGCGGCCTTGCCCCGAGCCAGTCAACTGTGGCTGAGGGGCAGGATCACATGCCCCCACATCACCGTTGGGAGCCCACCCCACAACCGTGAGTGTAAAGGAGGCCATTCACGTGCAGGTTGGACAGACAGACACAGGTGTGCCTACAGCCAGGGGTGAAGGATGCCATGGCGATGAAGGCAAAAACAACGAGCCTCAGGCGATATTTGCTGTCAGGTCCTTGGACTGTAGTAAGAGCGAGACGCACCTGCAGATCATCTAATCCAGCTCTTCATCATTTACGTAAGAAAACAAGCTAGAGAGGTGACCGGTTGGCCCTGGTCCCTTATACTTAATGGCATTTCTGACGAGAAGAAAGCATGTCAGCATTTGGTGTCTCTTGAGTAAATCAGCACACGTCCTGGGATTCCTGTTTGCGACACTCTTGGAAAACACAATCTGCGCTCGGCCTGACTGTGCCCTTGGCCATCCATGCCGACAGGGCAGGGCAGCGATGCCACAGCCACTGTTTCTATTTTATTCTCCCTAACTGTGCTTCATCCTGTGAGGTAAGGCTTGATGCATGTCTAACCCCAGCTGAATACGACCCGTAAGGTCTAGTGAGGTGGATTGTCACAGTAGGATTCATTAAGCAAAGAAACTTGGTTCGGGCAGCCTACGGACCTTGTC